TGGTTCCTTCATCTATTAATACTTTGTCTATTGCCTCTTTCAATCTGTTCCAAATAACACTGTTTAGAATCTTATGCAGGCAGCAGCTTGCTTGGTACAAAAAGCAATATGAGGCTTCTTCACTTTTAGCAGATATTAAGATCTCCCTTTTTGGGGTTATTTAGTTGGACAATCAGTCCCTTCTTCCACTCTCTCTGCTTTTCATGGTTTGTTTGACAGTCTAAACATACATACCTCTGTTTTCTTGTCATATAGTCCTCAATGTCTCAGTTAGTATTTCATCAATTTCTACTGATTTTTTTCCATATTGAAAAGATTAAACAATAGTAGCTGTTGTCACTTCCTCCTCGCTTCTTCCAGCTATCTTTACATTCATGTCTTCCCCAAGGTAAATCGTATTGGTCTTCTAGAGTTTGGTCTATTTAGTCCTTCATTGATGAGTTTGCTTCATCTATTTAGTTGCTCATTTAGATGTAGCTTTACAAACATTTTTTAACCGGGTTGGATACAACAGATTGTCTCTATTTTCAGAGTTTTTGTGATCTTTTGTGATGTTATATGACTTCAAATCTCCTCTATGGGCTGCAAGCTCCACTTTCTAAGCAAGCTCATTTATAAAGTCGCTTGTTCTTGCCTACATTTATGATCGACCTCTTTGTCTAGCTCCTGATATTTAGTTTGGAGCTAACGTCTTTGCAATGTTGTTTTTGCATCTTCCTTAGCTCCCTGCCAGTTGCTTTAGTAACAACAATTCTTTCATTTAATTTAATCTTTTGTGGGTTAGGATTTCAAATACATTTTTTGGAAAATGTCTTAGCCTGCATCCCATTCATTTATATAGGTCTTCTGTGGTATCTAGACTTTGAATTCGATTTTATTGTAGGATTGGAAATTTTTCTTTGATTCGTGTCTTTTTTTTATTTTTCAACATTTTACTCTTACATAACTGAGGTCCAAGCTTTTAATCTCTGACTTATCAAGACAAGATCAGTCTGGGTTTTTTTTATCAATCTATCTTAAGGACTCTCGTGTTTCTTTTTAGAAATTCATATGAGGGAATATGGAGCCTCCAAAAACAATTGCATTTATTTCACGAAATTCAGCTAGAAGTTCTTTTGCATTCACGTCACCAGATGAATTATACAGATACAGCATGTCTTCCCATTGCCTTTTATCTCTGTTTTTTACTTTCATGACAATCATTCCAATCATGTCCCACTAAAATATGTCATTTTGGAATTTCTTCTCACCATCGTAGTGCGCGCAACTCTTGACTGAATTACAATAAAGAAACAGTATACATGTATTGCGAAATTTGAATTGCGTTATGAACCGTCAATCAGCGTTTGTTTTACAGTGTGATGTTTAAGATGTCTTTAACAAAGCTTAGTTATAACCAGAATACATCACAAAACGGCCAAAGTATGAAAATATTACAGTAAGTTGATCGTTTTAAGGCCAGGTAGTATAGAAATGTCGCCATTTTGTTTTAGCAGCAGCCATCTTGAAAATGGCAAAAATTGCGATGGCCACGATGATCTTAGCAACACTGTTGCATGACAGATAATTGTGCCAAATTTCATGCTTTTCTCCACAAGTGAAATACTTTGGTAAAATTTTGCTCTAAGCCGCTACACTAGAATAGGTTTTATCACTTATTCGAATAGGTGATATCATCTTTTCGAATTGATGATATCACCTATTGGAAATGAATAGGTGATATCACCTATTGGAATTGGTGATATCATCTATTTGAGTTGAATAGGTGATATCCTCTATTTGAGATGAATAGGTGATATCACCAGTTCCAATAGGTGATATCACCTATTCAAATTGGTGATATCACTTTTTTGTTTTGAATTGGTGATATCACCAGTTTGATTTGATGATATCACCTATTTGCATTTCTTATAACATTAAAAATTTATGTTCCCTTCCTCAAGACAATCTAGCTTCAATGCAAAGTAAAGGATGAACTTTCAAAAGACTTTTAAAGAGCAATTTTATTTCCTTAGCAGTGATTAAAAATTGGTGAATTATTTCATTACTCTTGCACAAACTTTTTTAATGTAAATAATATACGGTACCAATTTTGATGCACCAGATGCGCATTTCGACAAATTATGTCTCTTCAGTGATGCTCAAGCCGAAACATTGGAAATCCAAAATGTTTAAATAAAACAGACTTGGAAGATCTGAAAAAGATGCCAAAAACTGGAACCAAATACCTCGAAGGATCAGAGCTATGCATGAGGGAGATAATCCTAATTTTTGAAATAAATTTCTAAATATTAAAAAAGATAATAAAGTTTCTATGGACTTTCTGTACTTAATTTGAGCCAAAACTCTACTATTTCGGCATTGCATTGATCCAATAAACTCTAGATTCTCTGTAAGATCATTAATGGCACAAAGAGGAGAGGGGGCAATGTTTTTATGTTACAATGTATATGTACACAAAATAGACCATTAACAGCCTGGTTTGCGTATGAAAAACTAACTATAGATTTCTATTGACCCCAAGCAAATTCGGATTGCCACTTTCTTCTGTGTTATAGTCCAAGACATTTAAAACACCAATTGTTATCAATCCCTGTGAAGTTATATAAATTTCACTTACAGTCAGTTTTGCTATATTTATTGATACTTTCTCTCTGTTATAATTATCTAAGTAAAAAGAGGCTGAACTTTTTACTTCCTGTATAGAGTAAATGTATGCACTATAACCTTGGGAGCATTTGTTATTTCATACTTAATTTGAATAGCTAATATCACCTTTTCAAAAAGGAGATATCACCAATTCAAAAGCCGAAAAGGTGATATGAATTCAAATAGGTGATATAACTAAGTGAATAGGTGATATCACTTAATAGCGGTAATTACTAAATCGGCCCTTCATTCTATTGCTTGCAATAGCATACATTCTAGTCTTGATCTTTTTTATCATTTGTTTCATATTTCGATATTTTACTAATTATAGACATTTATGGCCAAATAACAAACGGGTTGACTTTAAAAGTGTCTCTAGAACATCAAGTAATTCTTCTTTCTTTTTTTTTTAACTGTAAGGCACTTTTGCTTTATATCCGAAAATTACATGTATGTGTTATATTTAAATCATTGCCTTTGAAAAAAGGGCATTCGGACGCAACTTAATTAACCAGTAGATAGACATTGTAAACAATTCTCTCTCTCTCTCTCTCTCTCTCTCTCTCTCTCTCTCTCTCTCTCTCTGGATAGTATATAAAGCGAAAATGAAAGACTTTTTGTTAACACAATGATACATAAGTCAAATCAGAATAAAAAGCATTTCCACATAGTGTACATTGATGTCGATTAAAGTTGCCAATTTATCAAAAAAGCCATTTGAAATATTTGATAGAACAACAGATCATCGCTATATCTTCAATTTACATCAGGTGAGCATTTTGATCCACGGCCCTCCTGATTTATTAATTCTTAATTTTTCTTATCCCAAAGAATATATTCCTAATAAAATCTACCAGGGTGTTTATTCTACGAGGGTCATTTTTCTTCACCTAAGGTATGCAGATTTTAAGGGTGTAGCCATTTTTTCTAAAGGCAAATGGGTCATTTTTCGACGTCGAATAATGACCGGGGGTCATTGTTCGACGTCGTATAATGACCGGGAGTCATTTTACGACGTCGAAAAATGACCCTCGGTCATTATTCTACGGGGTCATTATTAGTCTTTACACCGGCTATCATAAATCTTAGCTCTAAATGAAACATATTCTTGTAAAGTGATGTAGACCAAAGTCGTGAAATTACAGCTCTAGCAAATGCATAACATCATTAATTTAAACAATGCTTTCTTTGTCCAGTTTCATACATGAAGAATAGCAACTATACCACCAATATGGAATCATAATCTTTCTACTCCTGAATCCTCACAACCGAGTATGTAACAGGCAGAATTAACGAGTTAACACATATTCGAAAGCTGATCAGATTATCATAACCTTTCGTAACACAGACACGAATCAGTAATTTTTTTTTTTTTTTTTTTTTTTTTGGCAAATTGTATGAGGAGAAAAATATCAAGGGTTTTAGCACTCTGATGCCTGTTGTCTTGTGACAGCAAATGTGACCCCTAATCAAAAAATCCTAAATGTCCAAAGACCATAAGCCGAGCATATGTGTTCAAATATTAGAACTGTAACGTGTTTGGGTCCGTGAATTTGAGTATAGATCCTTAATCAAGATAATTAATTAAACATATGATTAGAAATGATAGGTTAGACGAAGCATGTGAAAATAAACGAGTCAATATATACAGATATAATAATAGGATTTCCTTTCCTTAACATAAAGCATACAACTATCTTTAAACAATTATTGGTATGGGTCTCGCACAGGTCTGTATCCTGTATCAGTACCAGGACAGGTACGGGTCTCAAATCCGGGATAGGTCCTGTACCAGGACAGGTCTGTGTCCTGCATGTATCAGTACCAGGACAGGTACGGATCTCCGAGGTCTCTGTCCTATACACAGACAGATCTTAATAAAATTCGAGGAAAAGTAATTACAACTTTATTAACCTTCAAATACTATGACCCAGTATACTAGACACCGTATACTGTATTAATTACAAGCCTTATTAACCTCCGCCGTACCTCACTACTGTGCCTCCGACGACCGTCTACACTGAGCTCCGACTGGCAACTGCCAGCTTTCTGCTGAACGCTCATATATATACTGATGTATACCCGGACTACCCTTGGCCGCTATCGTATCACATTACGATAAAGTCCGGCTGACGTAATGCATAAAGACATCCCGAGCCCGATCTCTGTCACATTTCCCACGCCTCTACTCCTCATGCGTCCTCGCATGACAAAAACAGTTATGAAATGCTGATAAATGATTTAATGAAGAAAACATGATCTATATACACAAGATGACAGCAATGATAATGATCATCTTAAAAAGACTATCTGTTTTATCAGTTTTGCAAGAAACAGCAGAATTCACATATTTACATATTATAAAACTCTTCTCTCTCAACAATGTTCTCTACACTTCGTCCGTTTTCATGAAACTTGGTTACGGTAACTTCTTTCACCTGCATTCTAAATCTCGCTGTCTGGGTCTCTTGATCTACTCTACATTCTGTACAGGAATAGGTCTGCGTCCCCACATCCACACTCTTCTGAGCTAGATCAAGTTCAGGTCTGCAGACCACTTTCCTTGTAGTAGGGACTGGGCTAGGTGCAGTTCGTTTCCTGAACATGCGTCCTGTCAGCAAGCTAGCGGTATTACTCGGTGGTTCAGGATCCTTTTCCTTTGGAGCTTCCTCCAACTGTACCCCTCGATCTTCATCCCAGTCACTTTCACTGTCACTGTTATTTTTTAATAGACTTCTAGGACCCGCCTCATCCTTCGACGACTCTTTCGACACTTCGTCACTTTCTGCATGTTTCAACTTCATGTGTTCCACCAAATATTCCTTCTTCTTGAAGGATACATGACATTTCTCGCATACCAGCATGCTGCTAGCACACTTCAACACATGATTCGTCCAGGCATCTTTCCCGTCCACTTCAGTAAAACACACTGGGCATATCTCTTTAGATTTTCTCGACGTCACCTTTGTATTCACCATGATTACACTGTAAAGACACATGACAATAAATTAAGGGAAATGATATCAATGGTGTGTTTTTTTTTAAGCAAAAAGAAAAACCAACTAAAATAAAAGCAAGATTGTAGGTCCTATCTAAGCAAATTCATGCACAGTTATGTAAGCTAATTTCATGATTTATTGAAAACTTAAAGTCATGTCCTAGTCCTGGACATAATCTTTAAGCCAAGAAGGTGTACGCCTTTTGCGTCTTGTTCTCCTATCACCAGCTAATTCATCTGTGACTTCAATATTTTTGTTAGTTGACCCAAAGTCATCATCTTGATTCTCAAGATCTATTACAACATTTGAAGAATCACTTGTCTCCAACTCCGTACTTTCGTGCCCTAGGTCTGGATCCTCGCCTCTGAGCACTTGAGATTTACATGCTTTTATTCTGTCTCAATGAACCACCTGTCCCTTTCCATTGCGTCCACAGTTGAGCTTATACAGGACCTCAGAGACTTTTGTAAGAACCTGAAATGGTCCTCTCCAATATGAAGTCAACTTTGGTGAGCAACCAGTTTTCCTTTGGGGAAAATACACATATACTTGGTCCCCAACTTTGAATTGTTCATAGGACATCTTCATGTCGTTATAATGTTTCTGTCGAAGAATGGCTCCTTCTAAATGTTTCCCCACCAAATTGTGAGCCCTTTCCATCCGATCAGTAAGTATCCAAACCCAATCATGTTTCGGTACCTGTTTCCAGGATGCAAGCATATCATATATGATGCCCAGAGGGGTAGCAGTTTCTCTATCAAGCATCAACATGTTTGGGGTGAATCCAGTTGATTCATGCTGTGATGCCCTATATGCCATCATTACAAAGGGTATGCTCTCATCCCAATCCGGATGGTTCTCGCTAACATAACTACTCAACATGGTGGCTAACGTCTTATTGAACCGTTCCACCATACCAACAGACTGAGGATGGTATGGTGTGGTTCTTGTCTTTCGGATCTGTAAATGCTTGCATACTTCATTAAACAAAAGAATTTCATACTGACGGCCTTGGTCAGAGTGAATGGACACAGGAACTCCAAACCTAGAGATTACCTCTTCCACGATCAGTCTCGCAACTGTCTGAGCCTCCATGTTGGGCATCGGAAAGGCTTCTGTCCATTTGCTAAAGTAATCCGAAGCCACCAGTATGTAGCGATTCCCTTTATCTGTGACCGGAAACGGTTGCTATCCTTTCCATTGGGTAACCCACTTGCAAAGGCTGCATAGGTCCTCTCTTTGTTTTAAGTGGAGCCTTCCTCCGGGCACATATGTCACATCCAGCAACATAACTTCTGACATCGCTTTGTAGCCCTGGCCAGTAGTAATTTTGTCTGATCTTGTTCAGGGTTTTGGTCACCCCTAGATGACCAGATGTCTTGGAGTCATGCATCTGCTGTAAGATAAATCTTCTCTGTGACAGTGGCATAACAATCTGATATGTCGTGTTGTTGCTTTCCTCAAGCTCCCACATACGACATAGCAAGTTATCCTTCAATGCCAGTCTACTCTTCTGAGCCCACAGTGATTTGACCATAAAACTTTCAGCAGTAATTTCATTATAGTCTAGACGCTTCCCTTCCTCCATCCAATTCTTAACGAGTCTTATATCCCGACTTCTATCCTGTATCTCTACCAAGTCCTTTGATTCATCTGTCTCGGTGTCTTTGACCTCATCCTGTAATACCCTTGCATGTTCCTCATGCAAATCTACTTTTTCCCAATCATCAAAATATCCACATTGGACGCATGGAAGTCTACTTAGCCCGTCAGCATTTCCATGAAGTCTACCAGCTCTATGCTCGATTTCTATATCATACGCCGATATCACCTCTAGCCATCGAGCTAACTGGCCTTCGGGATCCTTACACCTTAGCAACCATCGAAGGGAACTGTGATCTGTTCTAACCACAAATTTACGCCCATACAAGAAATGTCTAAAGTGCTTTATAAATGTCACTACTGCTAAGAGCTCCCATCTGCTTACACAGTACCTTCTCTCAGACTTGCTAAGAACTTTGCTGGCATAAGCGACTACCCTTTCCTGTCCATTCTGGATCTGAGACAAGGCTGCGACGATCGCATTTTGACTTGCATCGGTATCCAAGATAAATGGTTTACTGAAATCTGGATGAGTAAGGATTGGTGCAGTGGTTAACTTAGTTTTTAGAACATCAAATGCTATTTGACATTCTTCTGACCATTTGAAGACAACTGATGTTTCTGTCAGTTTATGAAGCGGTCGAGCTATATCAGCAAAGTTTGCAATGAATTTCCTGTAATAACTACAGAGGCCAAGGAAGGACCGAACTTGCGTCTTGATTACTGGCTCTGGCCATTGTCTCACAGCTTCAACTTTCTCCGGATCTGTCTCGACCCCGTCTTCTGTTATGACATGACCCAAGTATTTGACTTGTTTCGCAAACAACGTCCATTTCCTGGCCTTCAGCTTCAAACCAGCTGTCTGTAGCTTCTCAAAGACCTGTTCTAGATTACGTAACATTTCTTCGAATGTTTTCCCATATACAATGACATCATCTAAATAGATGAGGCATATCTGCCACTGTAGTCCCGACAACACAGTCTCCATAAGACGTTCAAACGTCGCCGGGGCATTACAGAGCCCAAACGGCATGACATTGATTTCATAAAAACCTTGCAAACGCCATCTTATGCTTGTCGCTTGGATCTAGCTCTACCTGCCAGTATCCAGCATTTAGATCTAGAATACTGAATCACTTTGCTCCCTTTAGCTGATTAAGCGATTCATCGATACGGGGAAGTGGATAGGCGTCTTTAATAGTGACACTGTTCAAGCGCCTATAATCCACACAGAACCTTTTGGATCCGTCTTTCTTCTTCACCAAGACTATTGCTGATGACCAAGCACTCTGCGAAGGCTCAATAATACCTCTTTTAAGCATGTCGGATACGTGTTCCTGAACTTCTTCCTGCATATGGAACGAAAGACGCCTTGGTGCCTGTTTGATAGCTGGATGAGTACCTGTATCTATCTTGTACTTAACCATAGAGGTTCGACCAACATCTTCATCAGTCATAGAAAACAGGTCTGAGTACCTGTTAAGTAAACTTCTGGCCTTCTCTTTTTCATTACTCCCAAGATTAGCAGTGCTTCTCTCAAATAGTTCCTTTAAATGGTTTGGCATTCCCTTGTTACTATTTTCATCATGGCTGGAAGATGAAAGTGCTACAATCTCTTTAACTGGAGACAATTTACCGACAACAGTTCCTGGCTGTATAGTCTTATTTGTGGATGACAGATTCAAAATACGGAGTGGTACTGCCTCTTGGCGTCGTATCAGTGTTCTTGCTAGCATAGCAGAATCAGATTTCTGGAATTTTTCAGATGGTTCCACAAGCCCTATCTTCACAGGGAATCCTCCATCAGGCCCTGCACATATCTTGCCCTCAGTCATTTTTTCGGATCTGGGGGGTATAACTATTCTGTTGACCAGTGCAATTTTGTACTCTTGTGCAGTACCCTCCATCTGAATAGGATGTTCTATACCCGAGATCTCAACCTTGTGTGTACGCATATTTATGATAGCTTCATACTTTACAAGAAAATCTAAACTAAGAATTCCATCTACAGATAGATCGGCCACTATTATCTCATGCTTCAGAGTTGTACCATTTAGCACAAGTTCGATAGATGTTTTACCATATATCTCTACACAGGATCCATTAGCGGACAGGACATCTCTTTCTACCTTTTCTAATAAGGAATGGTTGGTTCCTTGTATGTTTCCATAACATACCTTTGACAGTAAGGAAACAGTGGCACCTGTATCAATGAGTAGATAGGTATCCATCCCACATACTTGGCAGTCACATAAGCCCCTGACTCCTTAATAGACTGAACAATTCTAGAGTGTTCATCTGTCTTTTGCATTTTGCCTTGGGACCGATCATCTGACCTATGCTCAGTCATGTCTCTCATTTTCTGTCTAGGATCTGAACGAAAGGTTGTATCTCTAAGCATGGGACAATCTCTTTTTAAGTGTTTGTCAGATCCGCATTTGTAGCACCTTCTAGTACTATTTCCAGTGATTTTCCTAGTTTCATTCTTCATCTGCCTTGTATCGCGTCCCTTCCTTTGCATTTGAAACTTCCACTGTTTCATGTCCTTTATCTCCCTTTGAAGAGACTGCATATTTTTCTCCATGGTCTCTATGAATTTATCTATCTTTGATCCCTGACCCGAGTCTTGATCCATGCTTCTGACATTCTCAGTGCGACGACTCTCCGCTTTGTAAAACGCTTCAAGCTCAACAGCTCTCTGTATAGCATCATTAAAACTGCTAGGTCTGGACTGCTTGATCTTAAGACGCATCTCTGCATTATGCAGTCCGTCTAAAAACTGTTCTGTGGCAAGGATCTCACGTACATCATCCGGTGCTGTAGGATAGGCTAAGTTCACAAGCCTCCTTATATCTTGGCCCATCTCTGGTAAACTCTCTGCTGCTTTTTGTCTCCTTTCCCTGAGCTGGGTCCGATACAGCTCTGTCTGGTTCAGTGGGGCAAATCGATCCTGCAAACATTTGACTAATTTTGCATAATTCTGCCTCTCATTCCTGGGCTGATTACCCAGCACACCTTGTGCTAGCCCTCTCAGAGACGCAGCTAAATATAACCCCTTTTCTGTCTCGCTCCATTCATTTAATAGACTCACAGACTCAAAATGAGACAAATAGTCATTCCACATACTGGAACCGTCGTACGTCGCAGGTTTAATAAAATTCCTGGGCTTTGATCTCTTCTGATGTTGATTTGCATCTGTCGCCGGATGAGTGTTGGTGCCATGTGCCGAATACTGTCTTCGGTTTCCAGACCTATCATCAGTTTCATCACATATGCATACATCCTCAGTACTTATCAAGCACCCTTTCTGTCCGTCTTGTAAACTGCTTCAAAATTCATTAAATTGTTTAACGAGTCTTTGATTATAAAAAAAACAA